GACTCTCCTGTTTATAGCCTCCCAAGAGCTGGGATTAGAGGCACACACCACCATGCCCAGTCTCAATCGAAGTCTCTGCACGTCCCGGGGATGGAGCCAGCTCCAGGCCTGGAATGGAACCACCGGGCCCTGCACCTGCTTGCAGGTGCTCTAATCCACTGAGCTATTTGGCCTCTCTCAAAAATCAGATGCTGAGGCCCTAATTCCCTATCCCCCACCTCCAGGAAGGGACGTGGAGGAAGTTGGGAGCCGGAAGTATGCAAACCCAGAAGACCACCTTCATGGTGACCATGCCAGTGGTCCCAGATTACAAAGCAAACAGACTATGTTTTAAAAAAAAAGACAATAGAGGCCCAAACTAACCAAAATACAGAAAAACTCACTTTATGAATCTTATAGAAAATTAATTAATACATGTTAATTGTCCTAAAAATCATAATGGGCTGCCACTACTATCACCACGAAACAGAAGAGACAAAGCTCCTCCCTTGAGATGGCCACATTTTCAGATTAGAAATTACATTACCTTAATAATATAAAAAAGCCACATACATGACTATTTCCAGGCACACGTACACTTAAGTAATAAAAACTACATGTACTCACAAAACTGTCTATATTTATGATAAATAATAAATGTGGGACCAGGAAGTTAGCTCAGTGGCACAGCACCTGCCTGGAAAACGCAAGGTCCTGAGTTTGATTCCCAGGACCAATAAAATAAAATAAAATAAAATAAAATAAAATAAAATAAAATAAAATAAAAATAGTAAATATGCAGATAGGGAGCAGTGAAGATATCTGAATAATTTTGCTTTGTGTTTTAAAAGTCCTACACAAAAATCTTACGAATAAACATGTTTTATAAATAAAGATCACAACATATCTCTTGTTTTCTATTATAAAAGCATTTACAGAAGCGCATATCCAATTCATGTTGGAGCATACACAGTGTGAACACCAGTTGTCCAAGGGCGAGACGTACGCACTAAACATGAAAGACTGGGCAGGCAATGCTATAGGATATCAGCAAAGCCTTGCTATAAAGGGGAAGATTTCCATATAAGATCCATCTGAAAATCCATTTCACACTTCTAATTTAAAGCCAATTCAAATGTAATTTACTTTATCAGGGCCATTCATTTAGTGAGGGTCAGAAGAACAATCAACAGAGATGACAATTACTTACGCTTATCAAAAGACAACCTGGTACCAATAGTGCTAAGCTGGAGAAAAAGACAGAACTGGGAGTCACGCTGAAACAACAGCTATTACCACACAAACTGATCTTCTTTCAAACCAACACACTCTACCACAAAGCCTTTACTCACTATCATTTCCACACAAAAGGCAAGCTCATTTGCCATTCTATTTGAGTGGCCCAGTATGCCTTTCCTTTTCCAAGGCTGATGACTGGAGAGAGGGGAAACAATCATATCAGGCACAAAATATTCAACTTACCACTCTCATCATCTATACTGAACCTTCCGAGGCCGCTGCCATCCCTGATGGAGTACTGGACCTCCCCGTCCCTCCCAGAGTCCTCATCACGGGCAGACACCTGCAGCACACTCGTTCCAATGCGTGAGTTTTCTTTTACAGATCCAACAACAGCAAAGTCTGGAAAGTAGGGGGTGTGAAGGTTTTCATTGACATCCACAACTTCCACCTCCACAAAGGACACAGACGACAAAGAGACAGGCCGTCCTTTGTCCTTGGCCCGAACTGTAAGATTATAAAACTGCTGCTTTTCATAGTCAAGCTCTTTGCTCAAGCGGATGGCACCACTGGCTTTATCTATTTCAAATCTCCCATTATAGTCATTGACCAAAGAGTAGCGCACTTGACCCCCCAATCCGAGGTCAGGATCATGTGTTTCCAACCAAGCAATGACAGTGCCCACAGGAAGGTCCTCAAGGACCTTCACACTGTAGCTGCTTGGAATGAAAGCTGGGGAGCAGTCATTGACATCATCCAGAAAAACCTTAAGGGTGACAACTGAAAACAACTGCTGACCATTTTCTGCCTTGTCTCTGGCTTCTATTTTCAAGGAATAGTTCGCTTTGGATTCCCGGTCCAACTGATCTGCTATGTAAATGACTCCAGTTGAGCTGTTGATGGCAAACTGTTGTGTATCTGTCAAGACTGAGTAAGACACTTCACCATTGGAACCCAGGTCTTTGTCTCTGGCTTCCAGTTGTATAATCTCTGTGCCGATACTTGAACTTTCCAGAATGTTAACAGAGTAGCTATCTTGAAGAAAAATGGGGCTATTATCATTTGCATCCTCTACATTGATGGTCAGCAATCTCCACGAAGATTTCTGTGGATTACCCAAGTCATAGATGGTGATATTCAGCAGATAGAGGTCTGTGTGCTCTCGATCCATGGGCATAAGGACCTTCAGTTGCCCAGTCTCCATATCAATATTAAAGCAACTATCGGTGTTCCCATCAGATATTGTAAACAGCACCTTTCCATTAAAGCCAGAGTCCGCATCATAGGCTTTGATCTTCAAGATGTCAGCACCGACTGGCAGATTTTCCTTCACAGCCATATCAGAGGGAAAAGACTTGTCAAAGTGTGGTCCTTGCCTATTAACTGAATAAAAGTCAAGAAATCCATCCTCCAGATTCAATTTCCCATTTGCTTTGGCCTTAAGGAGTAGCTTTTCTGCCAGTTTCTGAGCCACACGAGTTTCTCGGCAACTGAAGCTCTTGGAAGACACCTTCCCATGGAGGACGGAAATGTTAATAGCCATGGGGTCTGCAAAATTCTCTCCATCAGTGGCTGTGATTCTCAGGGCAAAATTGGCATTTTTAATGCCAGGATTCATCAGTGACTTTTTAAGCTGTAAAACACCAGAGTCTGGGTTTAAGTAGAAGAAACCAAGTTCATTGCCAGAAATGATCTTGTACTTCACAAGTTCAAGTTCATCAATATCGATGGCTGACACAGCTGTGATGTGACCCCCGACTGGGAAGTCATAGGAAATAACTCCCTGGCAAGCTACTTTTTCAAAGAGAGGGCTGTTGTCATTGACATTTCCTATTCGGATGGTTACATTTACCTCACTCTCATGGCGGTATGGAGAACCCCAGTCAGAAGCTCTGACGATGAATCGGTAAATTTCTGGAGAAGATTCAAAATCTAATTCTGCAGTTGTGCTAATGACACCTGTAAACTGGTTAATGGCAAATGGTAACAAATTCAGGCTGGCAATACTATAAGTGATATATCCATTTTCTCCTTTATCCTTGTCGGAAGCTGACACGGACAGAACGCTTGTTCCTACTGGGATGCTTTCATTCACAAAAGTATCATAGAAGTCCTGCTGGAATTCTGGGGTGTGGTCATTTGCATCTTCTATGCCAATGAGAACTTGTGCTTTTATATCGCCTTCCTTGTCTGTCACCTCCAGCTTGTAAACCTCCTTCCTAATGGTGTTCAGGGGCTGCGCCGTGACAATCAAACCTGTCCGAGGATTGATTCTGAAGTACTCCGCATCTTCACCGGTAGATAATTTGTATTCCACATCGAGAGGTTCAGGACTTAATTTTACGATAGCAACCACCACACCAGGAGGGGAAAACTCACTGATGTTGACATCATACACCTCTTTTTCAAATCGAACTGGGACATTGTCTCTTTTAGGGTTGGCAATGTGGACCATCTTCAGTGCTGAAAACTTCTGGGGTGACCCTTTGTCTTTTGCTTGAAGTGTGAGGTTGTAGCCATGGGAAAAGCTAGCCCAGTCAACTTGCTTCCTCTCCCGGATCTTGTATTCATTCATCCACTTGCCTTCCTTTGCCAGGAAGAACTGATCTAAAGGATCTCCAGCCACGATGGAAACTGATTCGATCTCCCCATTGGCCCCCTCATCTAGGTCATCGACTGTCACGACTGCATATGTCGGCTCTTTATCCAACGCAAAAGGAATGTGCGTGACGACCTGGATCGTTGGGGCGTGTTCATTTATACGTTCAATGTGAACATATAGCTTTGCGGTACTGCTCACTCCGTTGTTGCCATAGAGCTTCATGCCTCGGTCCACAGCTAGAATTTCCAGGTCATACCTGTTCTTCTCATCATAATTTAATCGTCCACTTAGGGAGATGATACCACTTGTGGGGTGAACTGAAAAGAGATCAACTTTGTTTTTAAAGTAGTAGTAGAATTCTCCGTTAGAACCAATGTCAGCATCAGTTGCTGTCACCTGAGCAACGCTAGTCCTTAGTGGTGTGCTTTCTGCAATTGTAACAGAATATGTGGTGGGAGAAAACAGAGGTCTCAGATCATTTGTGTCTAAAACCTGAATATTCACTTTGGTCCATGCTTCCAAATCTTCTCCTCTGACAGAACCCTTTACTATCAATAAATAACTGTCCTGAATTTCCCTATTCAAAATGGCAGAATTCCCACCCTTAGTTCTTATTCGGAGGAAACAGAAGTCGGCAATGATGACTTCCTCTGCTTTGAAAAAGCCTTCTTCGTCCCCAGATACTATTCTGTACTTGATGTCCCAGGAGAGATCTACTAAGGTGATGCCCATTCTACTATGGCTGTTGACGTAGGTCCGTGCTGCGGAATTCTCATAGACTGTAGCATTGTATGTGGAGTGTGTGAAGTGAAAGCCCAGCGGCCCCGTCCCTGGCAGCCCCTGGGAGACGGTGGCCAAGAGCTTGAGAAGAAGGAGGATGAGGCAGGAAGGAGGAGGTCGTGTCCCCACACAGTGTCCCATAATTATATCCATCGCATCATACTTCCGTCCTGGAGGAACAGAAACAGAAAGAGGGGAAGAAAGATAAGTTAACCTGAAGAGAGTGGAACAGAAAATAACTGTGAAGAAACAGTGCTTTTTAAAACTCTGATTTCAAAAATCTTTTTATTAAAACATGAATACAAGAAAAAAATGAAAACCACACCACTACTAGATTATAAGGAATTCAAAATCACTAGAATTTAACTTTATGTTTGAATTTTTTAAGCTTCTACATTGCCAATGGGACTGTTCACTGGCACAAGATATTATATTCTGAAGGTCAACTTAGACATACATAGTGGAGGACTCAGGTAGATTTATCTTTGACTTATAATTATCTTTCATATAATTATCTGTGAAAAGAGACGTGTTCATATAACATAGCTAAAATATAAAAACTGAGAAGGTATGTGAAAAAATTATCAATAAAGGATCAAATAATTCATGGTACATTTCTAAAAAGAATACTACGTACCTATTCAGGAAATTGATAATAGTGTGCATTTTCAGATGGATTAAAATGCAAGGGTAAGTGAAAAAAAGCTCATCAAGATGGACAGATGGCATGATCCCATCATAACTTAAATATATGCACAACCACATGTTTGTTTTATTTATTTCTTTGGGGGATATTAGGGATCAAACTCAGGGCCTGTGCATGCCAGGCAGGCCCTTAAACCGCTGAACCATCTCCTTGGCCCTTCCATGTTTATATTTTGAAAAGGTTAACTTTTGCAGGATTTGGAGGCATATTTGCTTTTTGTTTTGCGACAGGGTCTCACTGTAGTTCAGATTAGCTTTCAACTCCATAGGTAGCCTGTTAAGGCACCCAGCTTTGGGCTCCCCTTCCCCTTCCCCCCCAACCCTTCTTATGTTCCCAGATGCACCAAGCACAACTGTGCTGCAAAGATTTAACCTTGACTGTCTGTTCCCAGCTGATTACGCACATAGCTTTGTTTCAGCTTGCTTCAAGGACTGAATACTTTGGGCCCAGAACACGCTGGCCCAGTCAGGGACACTTTATGATTCCCCTTCCCCACTCCCATCTGCCCAGAACGCCCTGACCCAGTGAAGGACACTTCATGACTCCCCTTCCCCATTCCTGCCTGCTCTACAAAGTGCCTGCCTCCCCAGCCATCGCTGCTGTTCAAGTCCGCTGAGCAGCCCGGCACATGCTAGTTGCCATCAATAAACTGCTCCTTTCGTGCCAGCTAACATGAATGTGGTCTTGTGTGGGTTTGATGGCACCTTTTTCCTGATGGTTTTCCTGTCATTTTGGTGCTAAAAGACGGGGAGGGACGCCTAGGCATGCGGTGCAGTGCCAGTCCCTCCCGGCCGGGGCCCCTTTGGTCCTGTCAGCTTCACAGCCACCTCTCATTGCTGTAGCAGACCACAAACCTCAGACCAGGCCCTTGCTGACTTCTCACCCACTCACGGCCTCTAACTGTAGGTCTCTTTTTGCTTTCCCTCCCATGATTCGGTTTCCCTATCCTCTCAATTCCTGTGCCCCCACCCTCTCTCCCCACCCCTGGGCCTTCTGCCCCTTAAGACTCTCCCTCAGTTCCTACTGGGTGCCTTCTCCGATTTCTCTCCCTTCTCCTCTCTGCCTTTTGGTTAAATACTTCACTGCCCAAGTCTTGGATGGCTTCCAGCTCGCTCATTCCCTGGGCTCCAAGACCCCCTCTTGGGACTCCCACCAAAGCCCGTCACAGGCCCAGCTATCCCTCCCCCTCGTTCTCTGACTTCCTCTTCCACCAGAGATGTCCTCTCAAGAGGCTTGGGTTACTCTGTCCATTTGGGACATCTCATAGGCAACCAGGACTGCCTCTCTGATTTCTGTAACCCTATCACTCTCCTCTTCACTATGGGCAATACTCCCTCATGCCTTCCCTGTGGCTCCACTGTCCTCCGGTCTCTTCAGTCTGTTATGTGAGGCCCACTGGGATTCTCTGAGCTCAAAGCTAAGCACCTTCCATTCCTTTGCCAAACTGCCTGCCCCAATAGAAACTTGACGGTGGGACCCAATGGCCCCCTGAGGGCACCCTAGATGTTAACACTCTAGGAGATCTCCACAACTTCTGTCGCCACAACCCTAAATGGTCTGGGGTACCCTATGTCCAAGCTTTCTTTGCCTTTCGCAATCGCCCTCAACTTTATTTCGTGTTCCCTCCAACAAATTCTTCTTGCTAAGTCCCCTGTGTCTCGACATTCGGGCCCAAAGGCTCTCCCTTCCCCTGCATTTCCGGAAGCCCATGACAAACCCGCCCCTCAGCGCCTGCAGGCCCCTGCCCAACTGCCTCTGCCCTCATCGGATCAATCCACCCGTCCTCCATAGATGCTTCTTCTACTCCCACTGCTCCCCCTGCCCCTGCCTGGGTCTACCCAGCACTTCCCGAGACTCCCCCGCCCTTATCATCCCCACCCTCGTCCCACACTCGTTCAAAAACTCACCTGCCCTCCTCTTACTCAGCTGCCACCATCCCGGCCATTTCCCCTCCGCCAGGTGGCGAGGGCTGAAGGCCAGGTTTATGTACACCAGCCCTGGCCACTCCCCAGCCTTTCCCAATTAGAAAAGTGCTTAGGTGCTTTTACCACTGACCCCTCCACTTACGCCAAAGAGTTCCTTCCAATACCTTACCCAAATGTACCAACTCACTTGGCACAATCTATATACTATTCTCTCCTCCACTCTTATCCTGGAAGAAAAAGATACCATCTGGATAGCATCTCAAGGTCATGCAGATGAGCAACACCATACAGACTAGACCTTCCCTACGGGCAAATAGACAATGCCACCAACAGACCCAAACAGACCCCGGATGGAACAATCAGTCAAACACCCTGGGCCCTCAGGCCGGGACGGAATGGTCATCTGCCTTATTGCTGGCCTTAAAAAGTCAGTGCATACAGAAGTCAACTGGAATAAGCTTAGAGAAATAACCCGGGAGCCCACTGAAAATCCCTCAGCCTTTATGGCCCGCCTTTCTGACACTCGCCAGATAGACACATCTAGACCCGGCTATAGATGAGGGACAATTAGTTCTCAGCACTGCCTCAGTCCCAGATATAGAGAAAAACTAAAACGCCTTGAGGAGGGCCCAAACACCCCCATCGTGATCTCCTAAATATGGCCTTCAGGGTCTTCAATGGCCATGAGGACGCAGAAGGATAGGAAAAACAACCACACCAAAGAAAAGTGCCAGCTACTGATGGCAGCCCTCTGGCCTTGGACTCCTAAGCCAAACCCTTCCAAGGCCTCCAACAAACAGCCACCAGGACCCTGTTTCAAAGGTAGGCAGGAGGGCCACTGGGCTCGGGAATGTCCAGACCCATGCCTGCCGCTGGGGCCCTGTCCAAACTGCAAACAAAAGGGACAATGGAAGATACACTGTCCCTCTCTACAACAAGAAAAATCTTCTGCCTCCACTCCCCTGCTGTCACTGGCCAACTTATTGGGTCTGGCAGGGGAGGACTGATGGAGTCCCCAGCTCTCATGCCCACACCGACAAGGTAGACGAGGTCTTGCTAACAGCTGAGGAGCCAGGGTATGAATCCAGGTGGCGGGTAAGCCCATGTCCTTTCTTATTGATACTGGTGCATCCTGGTCCATTTTACCACAAACTCTTCCATCCCTGATCATGGCTATGGGGTTGAAGGCCATCCCATGCCCGCCCTCTACTGGACCCCTACCCTGTCTAATCCCAAGTAAGCCTTTTTCCCATTCCTTGCTGGTTATGCCTTCATGTCCCACCCCCTGACTCGGCCGAGATGCTCTCACCAAGGTCCACATAACTCCTTTCCAAAAACCTTTCACACCTTCACTCCTTCTACTATTCTCCCTTGCCTGTTCCTTCCAACCCTCCCTCCCAACCCCCCTATTCCCCACCGAGGAGGTCAACCCCATGGTATGGGATACCTCTGGGCCAATGTTGTCACTAATGACAAACTTCTAGTCCTAGCTGAGACACCTGGCACTAACTTCTACATGGGTGTGAACCATCGTCCTGTCAACCCTCCTCACCTCACGACAACCCTCGGGACTCGGCCCATGTAAACTCATGTATGACAGGCTGTATCTCCTCCAGACCCCTCCCACCAAGCCTGGCCCTCTTGCCAACTACCTTCCCATTCTTGTCTTACTCCTCAACCTCCTTCAGTCTCATGCAGACCAGAGCCTACATAACCCTGACTACACCTCGGTGCCTCTACAGGTCCAACCCAGAGACGAAGTCCTCAAAAACCTCTCCACCCCATCTCTATAGCCCCGCTGGTCTGGCCCCTTTACAGTGATCCTCACCACCCATACTGTGGCCAAGCTGTTGGAAGAGTCCTTATGGGTCCATCTCACTGTACTCAGATGGGCTTTGCCAGATCCTACTCTAAGGAGCCCACCCTCAGCATGGATAAGTCTAACTGGACAAGCATCAACTTGTCCCCTACTAAATGTAGGCTCTCTGAGTTACTTCTCTTTCCAAGATCTCAGAATGACTTTCCTCTCCTTCATGATCATTACTTCTTTCCTGATGAGCTTTCATTCCTCCCCCTCCACAGGCAACTGGGTCTTTATGATTTACAGTCCTCAATATCAGCCCATCAATACCTCTGCCTGTAGGAGGCCTTAAAACCAAAAAGTTCTATCTTGCTCAGTGGGGCTGCAGATATCTGACCAAGCTGCAGAAGTTAGAAGGGTTTGAAGGAATGAATTTGTCTGAGTTGAGGTGTTTCATAGTAGAAAGGATACAGAATGGAATTATAGGCAGAAAATGAAAATAGTAATACTAGCACCCTGCAGGAGAGAGAAGGAACACTTCAAGCAAAAAATGTTCAAAGTTGCTAGAGAGAAAAAAACAAAGTGTTCATGATGGAGTCAGAGGAAGTTTCAGATTGAGGTGGTCATGTGTCTTCCCCTTTCAGCCTCAGGAAACCCACGTCAACAGCCAAAATAAGGAGAAAGCCTGTTAAACTTTTAATAGATGCGCATGCAGATGTGT